AGACAGATCCTCAGGAACTCCCTCCTCTCCTGCATCCAGCCCCGCCCACGAGCTCTCCTGCATCCTGGGTGCTTTGGCCTCCTGCCCTCCAGGCTCACTGGAGGTGGAGTCCGCTTCCTATAACCTAACTGGGCACCTGTTCCCAGTTCCTGTCCCCTCCTACAGCACTGGGGACTCTGAATAACCAGTCATCTCCCCTTCTCTTCTCTCTCTTTAGCCCCTTTCTTCACCTCATTCCTTCACATCGCCATTTGAGGATGGTTAAGTCATGCTCTTTTAAAAGCTGTTCCCTGCCCTCATGTCCCTGCATGGCTGACATGAATTCTCTCCTTTTATATCTTTCATCTAGTCCCTAACCTTTGATATATCCCCCCACATATCACCATCTGGTTCCTTCCCCCAACCCTGCGCTGAACCTGCTCTGATACATGCTGCCTTTGATGTGTCCTCCCTAAAGATACACTGAAGTCCTAACCACAGGTATCTGTGAACGTGACCGTATTCAGAAACAGCACCTTTGCAGATGAATTAAGATGAGGTCACGCTGGATTAGGGTTAGCCCTAAGTTCAACATGACTAACATTCTTATAAAAAGAGGAGAAGGCAAACAGACAGGGACACAGAGGGAGGATGCCATGAGACTGCAGACGGAGAGACCAGAGTGATGCATCCATGGGCCAAGGAATGCCAAACCCTGCTGGCAACCACAAGAAGTTAGGAGGAAGCAGAGAACAGTTCTTCCCTGGAGCCTTCAGGGAGAATACAGACCTGCAAACACCGTGATTTTGGACTTCTGGCCCCTAGAGCTGTGAGAAGAGACAATTAGGTTGTTTTAAGCCATCCAGTGCCCAGTCATTTGTTAAAGCAGCACTAAGCAGCTAAAACAGTACTGCTGATGGAATTTCTCAGAGAATGACCAACTGTCCTGGCTTTTCCAGAACATAAGCAATCAGGAAAGTCCCAGGAAAATCGGGAAAGTGTGTGACTCTTCCTTCTGGCACACACCTGCCTTGAGCACTCTGCAGTAAGCCGATGCTCTGCCAGACACTGCCCTCTTGAACAGTATCCCCTTTCTTGGTTCTCAGGAAGGCTCTCTCTCAACTGGATAATTCCATCTGGTGGCTCATGGGAGCTCAGCCTCTTCCAGTCTAAAATCACCACACCCCTTGCATCTGCTTTCTCTTCTTGATTCTATGTGGAATCGACAGCCAAGAATGCAGGGATGGCACTCAGGGCTTCCTCCTCACTCCTGCTCTACATCCACTGAATCCTCAACCACACTCCTTTCCAATCTCCAGAAGCCACCTCTTCTCTACATTTCTGCCTCCCTCCCTTAATGCAGTTCCTCCTCCTGTTGGTCTCAGTAGCAGCCTCAGAATGGGCTGTCCCTGCTGGCATTTTGCCATCCTCCAGATAGAGGATAAACTTGTTCAGATGCCTGCCAATGCCAGGCACCTCCTATTCCCCACTTGCCAGTGAGCCTCATGCCCTCTACCTCCTCCTCCATATCTTAAAATAAGATGTCCTGACTTCCTGTGCGTGAGGCTTCCCAGGACCTGCAATACACCCTCTCTCGCTTCAGGGCTTATCACTTGCCCTTTTCCTCTCCCTGGAAACCTCTCCCGTCATAAGTTTTGTAAACACCTTCTAGCAATCACTTGGGATGCAGCTCTGGCATGACGTTATCCTAGAAACCTTCCTCAATTCACCATCCTATAGCCCAGGATGTGGGTTTAGAGCCCCTCTCCTAGGCTCTGCAGCACCCAACACAGGCAACTGTTAGGACCCTTGACAGAATGTTATGCAATGGCCCTTTTAGTTCACATTCCTAAAAATAGTCTAAACTCTTTTAATAGGAACTATGTATCTTCTCAATCTCAATATCTAGTGAAGACCCGTACACAAAAGGCTTCTCTTAAATGTTCATCGACTCTTCACCCAAAATTTAAAATATGCAAGTAAAACTACACTGAGATGCCATTTATGCACAAAGTTTGGCCCAAATCCCAAGGCCTGTTGGTATACTCTGCAGGAAAGGTAGCAGAGTAACAGGTAATCATATCCAAGGCAACTACAATACAAGGTGGTGGATTCTCCATGACAGAGAACTGGGCAACATCCACATACATTCACTCTTTAGCCCAGAAATCCCAATTCCAAAAATCTCTTCCAATGGTACACTTGCAAAAATATTAACTGATGCTTACAGGGGGCACTACTCATTGAAACAGTATCCACGGTCACAGATGACAGAAAATAACCTAAGCATCCCTCAGTAAGGAACTTTGATTAAGTTAGGGCTCATCACATAGTGGAAGCTATGCAGCTACAAAAAAAAAAAAAAAAAAAAAAAGAATGACATAGATCTCTATATTTTTCTAGAGAGTAGGCTCCAGCATATATCATTAGCCTAATAATGCTACACAGACAGAAGTCTAAATAAGTGCCACTTTTCATCTAAGAAGAGAGAGTATAAATATATATTTGTATATGTATTTGGTGCTTTGCTTCTATTACAAGTAGCCTAACCTATAAAATATAGGTAAAAAGCTAAACGCAGAAAGAGTTCTACAACAGGATACAGAAAACAGGAGCAAAGCTCGTTTCCTTTGAACATCCCTTGCTTCAATAACACTGCAAAATAACTTAATGTCAATTTTAAGAATTTCTAAAAGTCAAAAAAAAAATAAACAAATGATAGTAGCTGGGTCTTGGGTTGGTGTCATAACCACACAGAAAGAAATTATTTCAACTGATTTTAAAGCAGTGATTTTGCTAGAATTTGCCAGTGAAATATATGTACTGTGAAGACCAAAAGAAAGAAGAAAAAAAGTCATTTTAAGGATTTTTCAGTAATCAAAAACAACCAGGGTTGTATGCAGCTGTTACTCTAAAATGACTGAGTATGTACTAAAGAAAAAAGACAAATAATTAGGTTGGTCTGTAGAGACTTGGGATCTTGTGCAAGGAAGAAACAGACGCTAAGATGGGAAAGGTTAACAAAGACCCTTGTGTCCTGGAGATGAGCTGGAAGCACCAGGAGAAGCTTATGGTATATCTGAAAAAATGTTTTTCTTAGCACTGTCCTCTGAGAAGACATGTGGGCAGCTTGAGTGCTAAAGCATCCAGAAATGAGTAATTCCAGATCTATGGAAGGAAAGAGGTAAAAGGAAGAGGAAAACCTCATTGACCCGGAGAGTAAAGAAGCTCACAAAGACACTTGGATGGCGGTCAGAAGAATCCAGAAGCCACCCTCAAGAGGCTACTCTGGGGTTCAAATGCTACAGTTTCAATATGTACAAGGATGTAAGCTACACGAATTAAAATGCATCAAATAGGTTGAAATTCATGTATTCATAATAATTCTAACAATCAAAGTAAGAAAAAAGCAAACATAATGTCTTATTCATCCCATTTGGATGACAAATGAATTACCAGAGGGATGTTAAAGAACCAAACTACTAGTGTATTTTTTAAAAATACACATATAAATTGGTGGCGGCAGGGAGCATTTATTTGGCCTTTTCTGTACAAGGTGTACCTTCAGGATATTCAAAGAGTTGATAAAGGAAAGATGGTTTATATAGAAGTATTCTAACCCCTAAATGAAGGACAAGAATAAAATGAGAAAATCCCAGTTTTACCCATGGGTGAATCAGTAGATTGAGTCAGTGATCATCAGTGACTGATTGATTGTTTCCCGGCTGGATATGTTCTGACTCCTGAAGGAAGCATCCAGCACTACCCACGACACAGTCAAGGCTAAAAGATAGAAACCTGGATCTCAGCTCAGTAGGCATCTTGAGATTACTAGGGATTTACAGACATCTTTGGGACAGAAACATATTTGAACCACACAATTGGAATGTGATGGGCAAAATCCAGACTGTCAGAAACCGTCTAGGACAAAGAACTTGGTTTCTGTAAAAATTAATTTGCAAAGGCTATGAAATAAAAGTAAAATATTAAAAGAGACTCAAGAGATATATCAACCGATGGTATCGTATGGAATCCATTTAAATACTGATCTGACTTAACTGTTAACAAAAAGATGCCTAACAATTTATGAACCCATGAAAAATCTCTCAATGCCCATTGGGTGTTTTGATGATGTCATGAAATCATTTTTTATTTGTTGTGATAAGAGTACTGAATTCCTTATCTTTGAGCATTCTAAACTGAAATCTTATATATAAAATTATATGATTTTTTTGAATTTTCTCCAAAATAATTTAGTGGGAATGAGATGAAGCATGAGTGGAACTTAGAGGAAAAAAAGGATGGGGCTGGGCCATGAATTGGTAAAGTGTGGGGCATGCAAAGTTTTAAAAGCAACAAAATGTAAAACCACTTGTTGCATGAATTACTAAAATACAATGTCTGATTTATCATATTTAGCCTGATAATACAATTTTTTGAGGACAGGGATAAAGTCTATATTCTTTTCCAATCTGAATGATTGAGTCCCCTGGGTGTGAAGGACCCTAAATAAATTTCAATGAATGAAAGAATAAATGAGTGGATATGCAGATTAAATTATTTCATCCCACCAATCCATAGAGATACTTAGGACATTAAATCAATTCTGCTGCCACACAATGCTAGATAGAAACAGAGGGGTAAGTTTGTGGCTAGACTAAGGCTTTGCAGGAAAATGCCACGGTGACGAATTTTAGGCTTTCTTTGGTTTCGTTGTTATTTTTATGGTCACATTTTTATTCTTTGGTTCAAACACCTGGGAGGTCTGCAGTACTTGTTAAATAAAGGTGACCAGAAATAGTGAGATTTGCTACCTTGGTAATCCCTGTCGAAATCCTTCTTGAGGCAGTGATCAGTTTCTGGATGGTAGAGGCTTTTGTATTTTTACCTTTATTTTAAACTACATCAAACAAGAGTCACTGGATTATACGGCATTTGTGATGCTCTATTATCCTCCATCACTAAATACAGAATGTGCATTTAGATGATGGCTTTGCACTCAGTGTGTGCTGGTCCCTTACCTTTATAGGAGATGACCGGGTGCTCGGCTCTCTGGCACTGAGTCGCGCCCTGGGCCTCTGGGCGGGCAAGTCTCCACAGCCCCAGGCTTGAGAACAGCCATGCTATAACACAGGTTCCCTTCATGGTGGGCAAGGGGCCTCTGACTCTGGGCACGTGTCTTCTAAAGAGAAGCTCTTCTTCCCCTCATGTGTGGAAAGTGCCTAAAACACACAAAAGAGAAGAATCAAATGGCGGTGAGTTTGTTTTCTGGTGGGTGGTCTTCTGGTAAAACTCCCTCAGTAACTTCAAGGTTATACTTTGTGGAGACAGAGGAGAGCTTGGAGAGCTTAAACAAGCCCATTTTTCTAGGTCATGTACCAGGCTGTGTGTGTGTATGAATGCATGGGTGAGTGCGTGTGTCTCAATCCAGACCTATCTTTCTCCCAATAATTACATGACATAGCCCATTTGTTGTAAAGTGAGAAACATTCAAGTTTAAGCTATACTGTCATCACAGTCACTCCTAAGGAATGTGGATTAATAGTTGGGATTGGCTGGTTTCCCTTGGCCACCTGTCCTACCCCCTTGCACAAACACAGATCTAAATGTGGAAACCCTACAAATACCTGCCCATCCCTTTGAAACATTTAACAGGCATATTTTTAAGAAGGCCACGGCCGCTGTCTTTTACTACTAAATTGATGAGTATGATGCTACCCAACTTTTGAAAAAGCATCACGATTTGGTAAATTCTGTATTTAGTGATGCAGGATAACCTTTTAAAATTGTAGATTATCTGCCTGCAAAATAACTGGCTGGAGATCAAGTGTGAATCAAATAAAATCTGTATCAAGCACCAACTGGGTAAAATAAAAGTACTTATGCTGGGAAAGTTTAAAGATTATGAACAATTTAAATGATTAACAAGCATTAAAGTAATATAGGCCTGTAAAAATAACTATAATCCAAGCTATTAGCAAGCCTTAAAAAGAATGGGAGTGCTGTGGGAGTCGAGGGAGAGCAGGACTGCTACAGAGGGGGATTCTATGACGGGTCCACGCAGGAGTTCAAATATGAGTATAATGCTGGAGGATAAAGAGGATTTCAACAGATGGAGGTTTCTGGAAGCACATTTTTTCCCCAGGGAAGAGGATGAAAAGGCACATTGAAGGGGCAGGAGGAAGATGTATGCAACATGTTTTGGGAATGGTTTGCTGTACTTGATTCGGGAAATTTAAAGAGAAGCAGTGGGAAGAGCTTGCAGAGGTTAAGACTTGGAGGGCAAACTACACTAAGGTGTGAGGTCTTTTCAGGCAACAAGCTACTATGTTAGACGCTCTTATTAACATTAATAAGATTATTCTCATGATAGTGTACCTAGGAAATTAGGCAGAGGAAAGCATAGAAATGAAGAAGTCCATTTGAAGCCACTTCCATAGTTAAGAGAAATAAATGAAACAGTCACTTCAGGGGTGTCAATGTGAATAAAAAGGCAAACTCAGTACACAGTGACTGTAGGTAAAGTATGGCAAATTAAAGATGGGCAGAGCCTGCCATCCCTGCCACTGAGAGGTGGGTCTGTGTTCCCCACCTGGAATCTGGGTTGGCTCAGTGACTGCTCTGCTCATTTGAATACGGCAGAAGACATGCTGTTCCAGTTTCCAAGCCCAGGCCCTAAAAGCTACTTCCTGTCTCTTAGAAACACAGTCTTTAAGACATTGAGACACTAGGTGAGAAGTCCAACTACCCTCAGGCGGCCATGCTAGAGAGAACACATTTAGGTGCTGTAGTTGACGGGTCACCCATGAGCCCAATACTCCAGCCATGAGTAAAGCTGAAACCCACTGAGCAACTTCAGTAGATGTCCTGAGAGCAAAAGAATCTCTTAGCTGAGCACTGCCCAAATTCCTGACCCCAAAATTGCAAAATATAATAAAAGAGTAGTTGTTATAATCTGCTAAATTTTGGAAACACAGAGCAAAGAGACATAGATGAACTTTCGACAGAAAATGTGAGTGACTTTGAGAATACTGATGCCATTCATTTTAATAGGATAATCCACAGATGGATTTTGTTTAGACGAGAATAGGATCATTTTATTTTGTGCACATAAAGTTTAAGGCACTTGGTTGGGCATAGTGGCTCATGCCTGTAATCCCAGCACTTTGGGAGGCTGAAGCGGGTGGATCACCCGAAGTCAGGAGTTTGAGACCAGTCTGGGCAATATAATGAGATTTCATCTCCACAAACAATAAAATAAAATAAATAAAAATTAGCCAGGCATAGCAGCGTGTGCCTGTAGTCTTAGCTGCTTGGGTGGCTGACGCAGGATGACTGCATTAGCCCAGAAGCTAAAGGCTGTAGACAGCTGAGAAGGTGCCACAGGGTTCCTGCCTAGGCAACAGAGTAAGATTTTGTCTCTAAAAATAATAATAAGTAAATAAAAGAGAGCGGAAGTAGAAGAAAATCCAGAGAAAACTGAGGTGGGAAGCTATTAAGGTCCCAGTAAAGAAAGTGAAAGGGAGGAAAGAGGCCTTCTTTAAAGAGGCGTGCTTACCGCCTGAGCAAGTGGTGAGATCTCAAGATAAAGAAAACATAGATTTGAAGGTGTATCAGATATCACAGTCTGCATTTTTTGAGTCAAACCAATGAGGAAGGATAAAGCCATGATCACTGAAATTTTGAAATTAAAGAATAGAAAAATTATGGGTTAATTTCATAGAAGTTGGCTCAATATGATTAAACCTGAGTAGAAACCTGAAGGTCCAGCTGAGTTTAGAGTCTCTCATTCACTCAGTATTTACAGAGTGCCAACTGCACACACAGCTCCCTGCATGTATGAATTTGCAAAGGAACCGAGGAGCATGAGGTAAGGCCTATTGCACTGACCAGCAGGGACCATGGAGGGAATATAAGGAAGCCAAGTACAGGGCTCACAGGACCAATAACGTCCGAGCAGGCAGTAAGTTGGAGTCCTTAAGAATGGAAGGACTTTTTTTTGGGTGGTAGGCTCTTTATTGCTGCCTCGACTTCAGACCATGTTATTGGTCTATTCAGGGTTTCGGCTTCTTCCAGGTTTAGGCTTGGGAGGATGCATGTGTCCAGGAATTTATCCATTTCTTCCAGGTTTACTAGTTTATGTGCATAGAGTTGTTTCTAATAATCTCTGATGATGGTTTGGATTTCTGTGGAATCTGTCGTGATATCCCCTTTATCGTTTTTTATTGCATCAATTTGGTTATTCTCTCTTTTCTTTTTTATTAATCTGGCTAGTGGTCTGTCTATTTTGTTGATCTTTTCAAAAAACCAGCTCCTGGATTTATTGATTTTTTGAAGAGTTTTTTTGTGTCTCTATTTCCTTCAGTTCTGCTCTGATCTTAGTTATTTCCTGCCTTCTGCTAGGTTTTGAGTTTTTTCGATCTTGCTCCTCTAGCTCTTTCAATTTTGATGATAGGGTGTCAATTTTAGATCTCTCCTTTCTTCTCATGTGGGTACTCATTGCTATATATTTTCCTCTAGAGACTGCTTTAAATGTGTCCCAGAGATTCTGGTATGTTGTGTCTTTGTTCTCATTGGTTTCGAAGAACATCTTTATTTCTGCCTTCATTCCATTGTTTATCCAGTCAACATTCAAGAGCAAGTTGTTCAGTTTCCATGAAGCTGTGCGGTTCTGAGTTAGTTTCTGCATTCTGAGTTCTAACTCTATTGCACTGTGGTCTGAGAGACTGTTTGTTATGACTTCTGTTCTTTTGCATTTGCTGAGGAGTGATTTATTGCCAATTATGTGGTCAATTTTAGAGAAAATTTTTGCAGCCTACCCATCTGACAAGGGGCTGATATCCAGAATTTACAAAGAACTAAAGCAGATCTACAAGAAAAAAACAAACGAGCCTATTCAAAAATGGGCGAAGGATATGAACAGATACTTTACCAAAGAAGACATACAGGAGGCCAACAAACATATGAAAAAATGCTCATCATCACTGGTCATCAGAGAAATGCAAATCAAAACCACATTGAGATACCATCTCACAGCAGTTAGAATGGCGATCATTAAAAAATCGGGAAACAACAGATGCTGGAGAGGATGTGGAGAAATAGGAACACTTTTACACTGTTGGTGGGAATGTAAATTAATTCCACCATTGTGGAAGACAGTGTGGCGATTCCTCAAGGACCTAAAAATAGAAATCCCATTTGACCCAGCAATCCCATTACTGGGTATATATCCAAAGGATTATAAATCATTCTACTACAAGGACACGTGCACACTGAATGTTCATTGCAGCACTGTTTACAATAGCAAAGACCTGGAACCAACCCAAATGCCCAACGATGATAGACTGGATAGGGAAAATGTGGTACATATACACCATGGAATATTACACAGCCATCAAAAACGATGAGTTCACGTCCTTTGTAGGGACATGGATGAACCTGGAAACCATCATTCTCAGCAAACTGACACAAGAGCAGAAAATCAAACACCATATATTCTCACTCATAGGTGGGTGTTGAACAATGAGAACACATGGACGCAGGGAGGGGAGCACTACACACTGGGGTCCGTTGGGGGGAAATGGGGGAGGGGCGGGGGGTGGGGAGGTGGGAAGAGATAGCATGGAGAGAAATGACAGATACAGGTGAGGGGACGGAAGGCAGCAAACCACACTGCCAAGTGTGTACCTATGCAACAATCTTGCATGTTCATCACATGTACCCCAAAACCTAAAATGCAATAAAAAAAAAAAAAGAATGGAAGGAATTCTACAACATTCCCATTGACTGAAACATTCAGGTTGGGCAGGGAAATAGGTAATGGGACTGCAAATCAAGATAAGGCAAGATAATGGCTTCTGTAGGAACAAGAGACGCTGAGCATGAAGGTGGAGGATGGGCTAGGGAGGAAAATGGGGAGCCAGAGGCTCAGGTGTCCACCAGCCCACAATCCCAGCCCAAGCACAGAGCACTGTAATAAACAGTGGATGAGCAAATACTCATTGTCCCTGGATGATAACATTAAAAGTAGGATTTTCACTTCTGAAAAGGAATTACAGTGTGCAAAACTGGAAGCTGCTGTAGAACTCCAGTCTAAAGGTAACCAGATGAAGTAGCTATCTTTCCTCGGCCTTTTGACCTGAGACTTAAGGTATGAAACTTCATCAACTGATGTATCTCAAAATATAATAACACTTGTTAGAGGCCTTTTCGATGTGATTTC